CCTGTGATCTAGCAGCACATGTGGTAATGTGGTGTAGTTGTTAGCGTGTCGAGATCATACGCTACATTGCCATGGTTAGACTCTACTGAGGGTGTTGATAAGACTTATGCGAGGTCGAAACTGCAGTCCACTCTGGATGAGAATACCTTTAAGAAAAACAATGTTATGTGAACTTCAATGGAAACGTCATGTCTGCTCATATTATTGTTGGAAAATTCAACTATTCGTCCTTCATCATCCTAAACTAAATGGGATGAGCACATCTAGCATATATAATCTATTGGTAGACTCTAAAGCCTACTTATAGACGAAAAATAGATTTCTTATTGCCGCTATCTCCCTTCAAATTCTATTTCTATAACCTTCAATTTAGAATATCCATAAGTTTCTGGACTTATTATATGTTTTATCGGTTTTCTTGCTATTTACTTTTAGCATAAGGCAGCTAAGTAAGCTTATAACATTATCCTTTTATAACTGCAGTTATATTTAAAGTCACTATAGACTCTGGTCAGAAACTGTTATATCATTCTGACGCAAGACGATCTTTGGTCATACTAATGTTATGAGCTGTGACCTTGGATCTAGGGGTTAAAGTAGCGCATACACGATACATTCCACTCCGGGACCTTATTTTACACAAGTTATTTAAAAAGGAACATGTTATTTACGGATGTGGTTACTCAAATCATATTTGAGGTAGATAATAACTGAATCATCTTGTACCTTGATAGCTTCTAATGAAGTTACTTTACTCCTATCTTGATGTGGACATACATAAATAAAATCAGCTTCTCATTCTGTTTATTTCCCTTCGTCTTTCAATTCAGTCTTGTTGATCCCAGCATGCTGACAAAATCAGTTGGCTGCCTGAATCACCTATATTTAACGGCTTTGCACCAGGAGCCTCCTGCATTTAGTCTGCTTCGCTCTCTACTATCTGCAATGGTTCCCATTTACCGCTTGGCACTCTTAAGGGCTGTGAAGTTGGGTGTGGTCGAAGCTGGCGTGATCGGTGGACAGGGTATTGAAGCAGACTCTCAGGCCGATATCGCTCTGGAGACTTTCCGCCGTGTAGCGACTCTAAAGGACGACATGATTCGTCTCCTTCTGCCCACTTTGCCCTCGCAACCAGGTAGTACTGCAGCCTCTGTAGGTGTACGTCTTAAGCAGATTTTGAACGATGGCGTTCGAATAAGCGCTGTGAAGTTAATCGAGGTTAGTGCCACTGCTAACTTTGTCAACCCTGTTACCTTGATTTTTGTATCATGCTTTATTTCTAGCTCATTTCGTCAAATTTTGATTAACGTTTCACTTTGGTCATATATATTAAAGTATTCTACAGTCTAGTAC